AAAAAAAAAAAAAAAAAAGAAAAAAAACAAAAAAACAAAAACAAAACAAAACTCAAAGGCATCAATCTTTTAGAGATCAAATAAACCTTAAGGGTCTCCTAAGTTAATAAAATACAATTCCATGAAAAAAGTTTTACCTACAGAGAAGAAAGTTCTTGGTATCATTCAAAGAACCTGAAGTAGTGCGGACATATAAACTGGCACATAAATCAAAAGTTTTCCACAGGAGGAAAAATTCTTTTTATGTTATATGTTTATGTTACCAGAGTATGATCAACTACTTCCTTATGGTGCTGAATATTCCAATGCTTCCTCTCTCCAGAATAAAAATTAAGAAAAGAAAATGTGTTCAAAAATCTTTAATACTTAACTTTTCTTCTTTTGCCAGTTCTTGTTTTCCTTTGGCATCTGCTGCTGCTTTCAGTAGAGAACCTCTTGCTGCTCTGCAAGATCGACTTTCCACAGTGCTAGTGCCTACACCTGGGGCAAGTTCAAACATCCACTGAGCTCGGAACATCTGGAGTTGTGCCTAAGGGCAGAAAAGTATTTCAGGACTCAAGAATAACGGGCAGCTAAATGCTGGAACAGCTTATCAATGTATCCAACATGCATATTCTTTTATTCTAAATCAAGAAAACAGCCTTTTAAATTACTAATTTTCTATTTAAAACTTTGAAGAATAAAAATTGGTCCATAGTAACTATTTATACAGCAAAAGTATAATCGTACTGGAGAACCATGTTTGAACTAGCATTAAAGCTGTAAGCCATGACTTAGGTACTCAACAGCTTCCCATAATTTGTTAGTGAGTCCATCATTTAAGCAGACATTAAAAGTGCTGCTTTTTAAACGCTCTGAAGGTAGCTTGAAGTCTTTCTTAATCTACATTCTGTATTTGAAAATGGAAATACTTTTCTCTAACAGGTATCATTTCAAAAATGTAAAACAGAAAGCAAAGTGCTCTACGTGGTGGACTCTGAAGGGCTGCTCACATTCCTTTTTGGGGAAAGGAACTTGTCAGAACGAATCCCAAGGCACTGCAAACAGTCACCCTTTTGAATATTGCCTCAGCATGATCACACTGCCTTCACTATCACCACCCAACCACAGACTGAGGGCTAATAACAGCTTGGCTCTCTTGCAACCCAGGCCAGCTCTGAATGGGGGTATTCCACGTTCAGAATCCCCACAGGACTAAGGAAGTCCATTAATGGAAACAAAGTCTTTGTAAATAGAGAAGGGCGGAGGAGGTGAAGAGAGGGCAGGGGTACAGGGGAAAAATAAGAACCAAGATGCACCATGTAAAGGTACAAGATCCCAATGATGAAGGTAACTGTATACCTAAAAAGTACCAATAAACTCAAAGAAAAAAAAAAAGACTGCATTGCAGCTGAACTTCTTACCCTAGCTTCAGTCCAAGTCTACTTCCCTCCCTGCTATGGGCAAGGATCCCATGAGTGTGCCTCAGTAAGCCTCCTTCACGGTGATGTGCACTTTCCCACCATGGAACCCAAGCTGGGATAACTCTTCCCCACAGATGGATACTGCTAACAGCATTGTGTATATTCTTCGTGGTTTCCTTTTTTGAAAAAAGCATACACAAAATATGTTGCAAAAATGTTTTCCTCAATTCTTTAGCTAAAACTATCCTTCAAAACTACTAACTCTCCATCTTCTTACAGCTAAAATTGGAGAGACTTGTGATAAAGAAATATCAGACTTACAGATGACTTAAAACAGTAAAGAGGTCTTGGAGCCCCTGGTTACAATCACTATTCCAGTCCCTCAAGAGCAGAGTCTCGATGTAGCTGTTTTCCCAATCTGCCTTTCCATTCTAGTGCTCATTCTTTGGTTGTCCATCTTTAATCACTTGAAAAAATGTGCTTATTCTTGCCAAGAGGCTGCCAAACTCCAAGTGATCACGCAGGTATAACCAACAACAAATGTGCCAGACTTCTCTTACCGGGACCCACTAGACTGACCTTGTGAAGGGAGTTCATAATTGCTAAAACCCAACATGACTTCTGTCCAAGGCCCCTTAGATTAGCTCGCTGGAGAAAGTCCCTGCTGTGGTCTCCCCTACACTTTCTCAGCTCAAAGCAGCTAGATTGAAACTATACCCATTCTCCCCTAAAGCAGTTAGGGATAGCTCTTGCGGGGTTGTGTGTGTGTGTGTGTGTGTGAGTGTGTGCGCATGTGTACACATTTTGGCAGCTAAATTAGATAGAAATTAATAGGCAGTTAGACAGGGAGAAGCCCTCAAGGAAGTCACTGCAGAAGATGAGACCATATCAAAATTGTGGCTGGTGGCACATCTGAAGAAGGCAAGACATCAAAAGTCACAAATGGCCACACTTGCATACTCCCCTAAGGGATAAAAGGAAACGTGACATTATACTGTAATTGGTACCATCCAGTCCATTACTATATGCATTGGGCACCTTAAGGGTGACCAGAATACCTGGACTATCCCTTCCCCAAATGTTCCTATAGTGAAGTCATAAATAAGCCAAGGTTAATGATGCCAGCCAGGTACCCTTGCTATATTCCCTGCTTCCCTACTGAATCAGTATTAGCTAAGTGGCTATATTTGTCATCTTACTGGTTGATTATAGTCTGACCACGTGTACCCACACTATATAAATTACTATATTGCTATATAAATTACCCGTCAAAGGGCCTCAGTAGCAACTCACTAGGGACCCCTTCTGTCTCTCAGGACGTATTTCCTACATTTAACCCTTTCCAACTCTTTAAAACAAAAAACAAAAACTGATTTCCTCTAAATCCTAGTACATTGCTTTGGTTCCCACACTTATGGTTATATCATGTTACACACAACTATGACCTATAAAATCTTTAGTAGCAATGTCTACTAAAAAAATATACTGTAATAAATATATTATAAAGCATATAAATTATTAATTCACTTAACTAATAGCTGAATTTTCCCCCATTTCAATGCACAAAGATTTACCTCATCTGTAGTGTATGAACACATCATTACTTAACACAAGAAAAGGGTATGCAGGTTGTATGACACGTTTTTACTTACTCACTTTCTCCATTATTCCATTAGTGTTAATTTCCTAAAGTAGAATTGCTTTATGAAAAGGAATACATGTTTTTAATTTTAATGATATTACCAATCTGCCCTTCAAGAAATGTTGTGGCAGTTTACACTTTCGTGTACACTGCGTTAGTGTTCTTACAACCCAAAGAGCAATGGATTATTACTCACCAAAGCGATATTACCATCATCATTTTTTGAGACAGTCTCATTTTATAGTTCAGGCTGGCTTCAAATTATGTAACCCAAGCTAGCCTCAAACTCATGGCAATCCTCCTGCCTCAGCATTCCAAGTACTGAGATTGTATTATTATTAATGCTATTTTTTTTCTTCAAATATTTAACAGTCATTCATATTTTTTGTTACTGTCCACATCTTTCCATCTTGCGCCCTTCTAATATATAAGCACATTTATATACTGAAGTTACTTGCTATGGCTTGTATCTAGATGTCCCCCCAGAGGCTCAAGCAGTCACCAGTAGGGTTTTCTGGAGGTGACTAGAGCAAGGGTGTATGAATGTGGATTAAAGTATGATAATTGGGACTAGTACACTGATTGGCTAGCACTGTTCTGGGTGTGGATAATGGGAAGCCCCACCCTGGGTATGGGTTGCCACCACCATTAGGCTTGTAGCCTGAATGGAATAAAAGATGGAGAGCAGGCTACAGCTGTTTGCTGCCTTCCTGTCTTCTGCCTGCCATACTTTGGATTGTTTCTCCTCTGTGATGCCCCTCTGCCATGCTGCCCTGCCCTGGAGCCAACTAACTATGGAGTGAAAAAAACTGTGAGCTGAAGTAAACATTTCCTCTTTTAACTTGTGGGTATCAGGTACTTTGTTTTAGAAAAGATAAGTCACTAAGATCTTATCAATCCTCTGCCCATGTGTGGTAAAGTTGTTTCAGCTATTTTTTAAACTTTATTTCTGATATCTACACTTTTTAATGGGTCAAACTTTTCACTCTTATTTTCTACAGGCTATCAATTTTGAGTTATGCTTAAGCCTTATTTTGAAACGGCCATGTATCAAATTACATGGCAATTACTGACATTTTTATGGGGAAAAAAAAATCTGTGTTACAATGTAAGTATTCTATAAGGCAGTAAAAAAAAATTGTTAATTTCAGTGCAAACAATAGGAACCTGCAAATCTAGAAGGAGCAGAGTTAGAATTCAATTTATAATTGAAAATACAAGCCTGCAGGTCTGTTTCAGTAGGACTTTCATTCTCATCGTCATCTCCTGCTCTGGCAGTATCAGAATGACAATCTTCCTCAGCTTCTGCCTGGGGGGAGAAAAACCACAATAACATCAGGAGCATGCAAACACCAGTTTCGCTCTCTAATCTGATCTCCTATTCAGCTACTTACAATTTAGTACCATGAAGTTTGTGGAACCACTTTAATAGGAAGGTCGCAGGGTGCTTTTGGGACCTTACCACTTATTTCCCAAGGAAAATGAATCTGAAAAGCATATTCTGTACTCTAAACCAGAGTAGTAACATCACTGTGAATCTTAACATTTTGTTCCCAATTTAACAATTCTGTCCATCCAAAAACCAAACTAATTATTATATATAAAATAATATAAGCCGGGCGTGGTGGCGCACGCCTGTAATCCCAGCACTTGGGAGGCTGAGGCAGGAGGATCATGGTGAGTTCAAGACCAGCCTGGGCTACTTAGTGAGTTCCAGGTCAGTCTCAACTACACAGTGAGAACCTGTCTCAAAAAACCAAACAAACAAACAAAAAAATAATACAAGTTCATTACTATCCATAAATGATTTGATATGATTAAAGTCACTGGGTAAATGAAGCTGATTTTGCTACCAATATATTATATATCAAACTATTAATTGATAATTTATATTAAAATTATTTTTATTTTTTCTTCTTAGAACATCTTTGTTTTCCCTTTGGTTCTATAACAAAACAAGGGTATTTTAACTTATGAGAAAAATATTTAAACATCTTCAAAAGTAAGGAGAATCTAATGTAATTAATCCTAAGTAATCATAACTTAATTTCAGTAATTACAAGTGTAAATAAAAATTCTATAATATCAAATAGCAACTCACAGTATTATTTTTTAATATGTCATATAGGAAAAATTCATATACTGCATTTTACAATTTGTGAGATCAAGATTCAGGTCAGGTCTACATACGACGGTTGCTATGTGTCAGCGTTTGTGATCTCACTATTTCTTATAACTTATGATGAAAACAAGTCATTTTTCTGTACAGAACAAATTTTGCTAAGGGGTCAGGAAGTGTGCCTTTGCCTCTTATGTAAATTGTGGCTAGATCTAGGGAGATGCTAGTAATCTTATAATCTTGGTTAGATTCTAGTAAGATCTTTTTTTCTTTTCTCAAGTACTTCATACATGATGTTAGATGTGTCATCAGAAGGGAAGTGTTCTGAAATGCAGATGACAAAAAGCACTGTGGGAGATGTCCCAAACACAACTGTTTCATTCTGGGGCAAAAACCTAACTCAAGTCACCAGAATGTCCAAAACCTTTAAGTTCTAAAACCGGAACACTGTTTCAGGACAATGAAACAGAAAGCTGCTTTCTCTAGATATCGTTTTTGACTAGTAAAGTTCAATAATACTAGTCAGGTAAAATTTGATGCTTTATTTTTTAAATAGTGTAGAATGAACAATTCCACTTTAGTGATTTTAAAACTTTGCTTCAGAAAATGCTTAGTTATACTACAGAGTTCAGCAGTTTTTGTTTCAAGATGGATCATTTAAAAGCCTACAGTCCACATAAGGGTGCCCCTTCGTTTATAAAATGGACACATTATTAAATGTGCTTTATGCAGATTATTTGTTTAGTAATATTTTAAATGTACTAGGAAAATTCATTAGTCAAAGACTTGCAACAGTGAATGTTTTTATCAAGAAACCCATTTGCTCTTATAAATTCAATTTCTAGATACTGGGGTGGCTTAAGGTAGAATAAGCTGGACTGAAATGATGTGTATGGCTTTGGGATTAAGTGGTTTCAGATTAGACCCCTCCATTTTACTCTTTTATCTCAATAAATGCTTGTTAAATTAAAATGACTCCTACCTTCCAGTCACAGGGAAAGGGTGTCTCAGTTCTTTGGTCTGTTAGTTAATAGTTATTAAGCAAACAGGACTTGCTCAACACAATGAATTCTGTTCTATGCAAAAATGAGGCAATCACAGAAATGGCCTTAAAGGTTAGCTAGAAATAACAACATAGCCAATTTTACCTAGCTCCAAGATGGCAAGTTTTACAATTGCAAATTTGAGCTGTAATTTACTTCCAGGGGCAAAATATTTAACTCAGATTTTTTAACACAGTAAACACATATGTACTGTACTTGTACTGCATTACAGGCTTGTTTCCTATCTTATCTCTGGCAGCCAGACTCTTTGCCAGAGTACCTTTAACATCTGAAATAGTACTGGGGAAAATGTTTGTCAACAGTAAAGGCTAAATACATGAAGAAATAAGTAAGTGAGGCAGTTAGTTTAATCCAGGAGCTTTTCCTACTAGTATGATTTTGTATAAAGTACAGGTGTTACAGGGCTGATTCCCAGTGTAGTTTCACTGGGAGCTGATAGAACTTTGGAACTAGAACTTTAGGATGTTGGGCCTAGCAGGAAGTCCTTATGTCATTGCAGACATGTCCACTGAAATAGGATTGGGAGTCCCTTTTTCTCTTGCTTCCTGGCTCACAAGAAGAGAGGGTTGCACCACTAGGTATTCTCGCCATGTTACCTCACCAGAAGCCAAAAGGAACTGGGGCCACTTATCTTAGAGTAGAAACTCCAGAATCATGACACAAAACAAAACTCTTCTCTTTGTAAACTATCTCAGGTGTTTTGTTATAGTAATGGGAAACTCACCAATGCATCTACTGAGAGTACTGCTAGAACAAAAATACTAACACTGAATGTATAGATCCCAGTGAGAAGTTATACTTCTTTCTCTTCTCAAATACGAGTACGATTTATTACTGTAAACTCTAAGCACAGCCAATCTGAGAGGACCCAAGTCATGTAGAGAAGCCTTAGAATTTAAGATTCCAACTCTTTGCCTACCAGTTATAACTAAAACAAGTTTATCTGAGGAGCCTCCACTCCTCTCTCTAGTTGGTGCTCCTGCATCTACTACTTGCTCTCTCAATCTGAAATGCCACCTTCCTCACTTATCAGCTTCTACTTATCCTTCAAGACTCAGATCGTTTCTGTCAAAAGCACTTTCCACTCCTATTTTGTGTGACTGCTAACACTTGCATCCAGACTTTTGTTTTTCATTACAGTTAATGCACTGAGAACAGGGTACACATCTTAGTCGTCTTTGTAAACAAACATTTTGCTTGATTTGTGATAAAGGCCCACCTACACCTCAGCTGTCTCCTCAAAAAAAAAAAAAAATTTCTGTGAAGAGATTCAGTGAATTCTCTTTTCTGATGGGATAATTCACAATAAAGTTTATCATAAATCATGTTACAAACATGGATAGCACTATGCTAGGCTGCTAAAACAGGTGTGCAAAAATATTGTATTAGCATATAAAATGTGTAAATACATATATGTTATACTGACATATATATATACACATATACACAAAATCAAAGATGAGGAAAAATCTGTAACAAGACAATATAGTCCATGTGTCCTGTTTCTGTTAGAATAGTTGCTAACCCAGCATGACATCTTGATTTGAGACAGTCTGATCACAGAAATAAGAAACCTGGGATTTTATTACATTTGCAACCTAAATATCAATGGAAACGAATAAGCTCTCGGCTCTCCAGGAGCTTCACTTTTTTCCTCAAACTGAGTTCCATCTAAGTATTACCTTTCACTTATGTAACAAGTATTTTGCAAACACATCTTCATTTTACTCTTGTTCACAGTATGAACTAAATAAAAAAGTTAAGTGCTTAGTGCTGGTCTGAATACAACTTTAAGTTAGAAGCAGAATCAATTGGTGCTTTTTTAAAGTGTCCAGACTAGCTACATGAAATATTCGGCCTCTGCTTATTCAGTAAGTATCTGAGAGTCTTGTAAGCGCTAATTAGTTTGGTATTAGTTCATTCTTGATTTATTCAGCCCTCAATAGCAATTAATTTCTTAGTAGACAATTTACTGGATGCAAGAGCAAGGCACAGGCTAAGGACTACACGCACTACACTTTAGCCTCAGGAAATCTGTTCTTTCAGACTCTTCTCTCCATGTGCACAGATGAGATGGGGCTCAAGCTGTCAGAGCTATAAAGTGAGACAGGATCCCTCCAGCCCTATTCCGCTAGGATCACCAACCAACACCCTACCCGGGGCATTGATGCCTCATGGTCAGGTGCGTCTAAGCACAGGACTCCTCCTGCAGGGCCTGGCTTTACGGAAGAGCAATCAACAAGTGTCTCTCTTGGCCAGGATTCCCTACCTAGAACAGAGGCTAGAACGGCTCCCCTCAAACCAGGCTCGCTGCTTGTGAAAAACAAAAACCCTCGAGAGGGGCGAGGCTGGATCAGCGTCCACAGCAAGCAGAGAAAAGGCATTTTTCTAGGCTGTCTTGCAAACCCTGTCTCTCCACATCGGACCTGGCGGGGGTCCAGCAGGAAGAAAGCCTCAGGCGCAGTCAGGGCCAGCACCCTACGCTCCCTCTCCGGCCAAAGCCCCGTGGTCGCGGTGCTCCCCGCTTCCCCAGACCTTCACCCCAGGGCCGGGTCGGCCCGCATCCCGCACCCGTCCCGCAGGCCCCGGGCCGCCCACGAG